ATACACACACACACACACACACACACACACACACACACACACACACACACCACTGCCGCCAACTTAGAAAAGAGGATTTAGGATTTGTGGGTCTCCGGGGAGAGAAAGGGGAGGGGCTCCTAAGATGCAAATTTATGGAGCACAGCAAATGACACCTGAGCCCTGGGCCGAGGCTCTGAATTGCTTTTTGGCAGGATTAATGAATGAAAGCCACTTAATTACCATTTTGTAAATACAATCTCCCAGCACGGAATGAAAAATCGATATTCGGAGCTCGCCTTCGCGCCGTACAGGCTTGGCTTTTGCTACCTGCTGTTGCGATAAACGCATTCCAGGAACACAGGCCCTTTAACGCAATTTATATTCCGAGTTTGCACATCACATCCCCCAGCATATGTACATGTACACACACACACACACACACACACACTCCTGATGCACACAACTGAGCCTGGCGGCAGACAAACAAGGAACCTTCATTGGTGACGGCTGTAATTTTTTTTCCTTCTTATTCTTTTCGCTCCTGCTCTGAGTGTGTTACAATAGCAGCTCACCCCTCTGGGCAGGACACTGCAAGATCACAAGCCTTCCCACCCCTAGACCTCCCCCACCTCTTCTCCACTACAACAAAAATGTGCTGATGGATTGTGTGTGTGTATGTGTGTTTTAATGTGACCAAAGAGAGGGGGGAAAAACAAGTTCAAATATTTAGGAGCAATCGCACCAACTCTCTTTCATTAAATGGCTTCCATTCTGATGACGCCATTAATTGTAAATGTAATTTAAATCAAAATTAGCTTTCCCCCCGCCTGGCTCCGTCTTCTCTTTTGTTCTCTTTTCCTCCCTCCCCAGCTTCCATTTGTTGGCACGATGCTCCTGACAGGCCAGTCAAAAGCAGAAAACCCGAGAACAGGCTGGCAGGAGAGGAAAAAGCAGTGAAAAGGAGGCAGGCATTAATCCACCAGCCTTTGCAAGCTTGGGAAGCTGAGATGATTGCGACGTTTCGTTTGGGGATGTATCTGTGTGAGGAAGGGATTGCGCAAGTTACAACTAGCTTTATAAGCCGGTCCGAAAATTTTGGGTCTGATCCCTGAGGCCCTTCAGAAGCCGACGTCAGATTGATGCTACTTTTAATGAAGCTAAAGTGGGATTTTAAAATTTGTATTTCCCTAATAGTCTATAGAGAGACTCAGTGGCTCAGTGGCTAAGACGCTGAGCTTGTCAATCAGAGAGATCGGCAGGTTGGCGGTTCGAATCCCTAGCGCCACATAATGGAGTAAGCTGCTGTTACTTGTCCCAGCTTCTGCCAACCTAGCAGTTTGAAAGCACATAAAAAATGCAAGTAGAAAAATAGGAACCACCTTTGGTGGAAAGGGAACAGCGTTCCATGCGCCTTTGGCGCTTAGTCATGCTGGCCACATGACCACGGAGTCGTCTTTGAACTGCGCTGGCACTTCAGCTTTGAAAGGGTGATGAGCACCACCCCCTAGAGTTGGGAACAACTAGCACATATGTGCAAGGGGGACCTTTGCCTTTATCTTTAATAGTCTCAAAGGGGCTTTTTTCAGGTGTTGGATAACCATTTCCCTGAAGTGGTGTGGGGTTTCCTGCCTAAGCAGGGGGTTGGACTAGAAGGCCTCTGAGGTCCCTTCCAACTCTGTTATTCTAAATATGGCCACTCCCACTGCAGCCTCAGCCCTGCCTACTTTGGATGAGTTTATTCCTACCACACCTCTTGAAAATTGAATTTCAAGGACCCATACTTAATAAAGATCTGTATAGATTATACCGAGATTTCTAATCTCACAGAACATAGAATAGGATTGGAAGGCACCTTGGAAGTCTTCTAGTCCAACCTCATGCTCAAGCAGGAGATCTTATACCATGTTGGGAGTCAAGACAAGATGGAGCTGAGACCTTAACCAACCAGATGTATTCCAGACAGGACTGCAATTCCTAATATCCCCTTACACTGGGGCACCTGACTAACAATCCATATGATGGGGAAATGTTGGTGGTTGGACCTGAAGCTTCACAACTTCGACAACGCAACAACAACAATGTTGTGGTTTCAGTAACCCTCTTCTGGCCATCACCTTGATTTTTGGGGAGCTACCCCTTGGGGAAAAAGGGACACGGTGGCTCAGTGGCTAAGACACTGAGCTTATTGATTGGAAGGTCGGCACTTCAGCGGGTCGAATCCCCAGCACCGCGCAACAGAATGAGCTCCCATTACTTGTCCCAGCTTCTGCCACTCTAGCAGTTCGAAAGCACTTAAAAAATGCAAGTGAAAAATAGGGACCACCTTTGGTGGGAAGATAACAGTGTTCTGTACGCCTTCGATGTTTAGTCATGCTGTCCACATGACCACAGAGAACGTCTTCGGATAGCGCTGGCTCTTCGGCTTTGAAATTGAGATGAGCACCACCCTCTAGAGTCAGGAATGACTAACGCATATGTGCGAGGGGAACCTTTATCTTTAGTTTCACCCCTTGGGGACACCCCAGTCTGACTCTGAGAAATTTCAAAGAATTCTGCATCTTTCTCACTCCTTTTTTAAACTTTTTGCTGGTGATCACAGACTTCCAGTCATATACTTAACCCTGTTATCTTTCATTAGGGGATTCTATAACCTAGAGATTTATAGCTTGCCCTCTGTTATTTCCCTTGCATTGTTCTGTATTATTTCCATAGAAACCAAGCCCCCTGAGTGGCAATTTTCGCACTAGGCTCAATCTACCCTGCTATTTCCATGGTACAAACATTGCACAGAAAAACTAGGGCTGCATAAGCTTTGCTGAGAAACAAGATTGTGCTGGGGAGATAAAGAGAGCCAAGTTCAGAGAGATTCAGCCCACAAGATCACAATGATCTCCAAGAACATGGAGACTTCAGCACCTTTGGTCAGAAAGACAGGTGGCAAGCAATATAATGAATCTATTCTGGAAGAGCACCTGAAATCAAAGGCATGCCGGCCCCCAATCTATTTCTGGATCATTTAATAGCAATGGCACTTAGATTTATATACCATTTCACAGTGCTTTACAGCCCACCCCAAGCGGTTTACAGAGTCAGCGTATTGCCCCCCAACAATCTGGGTCCTCATTTTACCAACTTCGGAAGGATGGAAAGTTGAGTCGACCTTGAGCCGGTTAGAATCGAACTACTGGCAGTGGGCAGAGTCAGCCTGCAATACTGCCTTGCAGTCAGGGAGGCAGTCAGGGCAGGGCAATAGCACTTATATACTTAATGTATACTTATATACCACTTCAAAGCCTCTTGCCCCCAACAATCTGGGTCCTCATTTTATCTACCTCAGAAGGATGGAAGGCTGAGTCAACCTTGAGCCTGGTGAGGTTTGAACTACCAAATTGCAGTCAGCTGGCAGTCAGCAGAGGCAGCCTGCAGGACTGCACTCTAACCACTGCACCACTATGGCTTAAAATAAGGTTCTTGAAAACTGTGGCACAGGGAATTCTGTATTGTATTGCCACATTTCCAGAAAGGATTAGTTTGGAGAAGTCTGGTTGAAGCTTTGGCCTTGGTTAACTCTGCCTACAGGTCTCAGATACCAGGGCATCCTGCTATTCAAACTTTCTAATTTGGGGAAATCTTTATTTTCAACTTCTGTGTTGAGGAATTCAATGCTTCAGCTTTATATGTTGCTTTGAAACTCAAGATAATGTTTAGAAACAGATAGATGATAAATAGGAGACATTCCTTCAGCGTGATCTACAGAATTCCTGAATATCACTCGGAAGTCATTCTAGGGCCTGAATGATATATATGTTAGTGAATTGGACCAGAACCAGGGGTGAAGTGCTACCGGTTCACCTAAACCGCTATTAAAAAAAACCCTACTGTTCGGGCAAACTGGTAGTTAGCTGTGTGACAATCAGCTGTGCTGGTCGATTTATATTTGCTAGAAATCTTGTGGCACAGCTGATTGTTGGAATTTTTAAAAAACTTTTTAAAGCATTTTTTTTTATTACCGGTTCTGGTCAGGGGTGAAATGCTCTGAAGTCTGCTACCGGTTCATTTCAGGTGCGCATGCTGAAAGAACTGGCAATTTAAAAAATGCTTTTAAAAAGTTCCCACGATCAGCTGTGCAAAAATCAGCTGTGCCACACGATCATCGGAACATTTTTAAAAAACTTTTTGAAGCATTTTTTTTTTTACTACAGAACCTGTAATTAAAAAATGCTAAAAAATACTTTCGAAAAGTCCCGACGATTATACGGCACAGCTGATTGTCGCATAGCTGATCATCGGAACTTTTAAAAAACTTCTTTAAAGGATTTTTTCTTACTATGGGTTTTGGTCAGGGGTGAAATGCTCTGAAGTCTGCTACCGGTTCGCTTTGCGTGCGCATGGCGGGAGAACCGGTAGTAAAAAAATGCTTTAAAAAAGTAAAAAAAAATAATCCAACTATCAGTTGTGTGACAATCAGCGATCGTCGGAACTTTTTAAAAAACCTTTTTAAAGCACTTTTTTTTTTCTACCTTTGGTTCTCCTGGCATCCGCACATGAAGCGAACCGGTAATTCAGAGCATTTCACCCCTCACCAGAACACAAAAACCTTGAAAAACAATGGAGGGACTTCAGACCTCTCTTCCCCCCTCAATGTAACCTATCTCCCGGGTGAAGGAAGGGGGTTGAGCAGAGGAGGAGGAAGTCTTTAGCTTCTGGAGGCCAGCAGGATCTAACTCCATGGTTGAGAACAAGACCCCACTTCTCATATCTAGTCACATTTACAGCTCAGGTACATCACTACATAAGCAACTTAAACCAAGATTCATCTTATTTCATCCTTAACTAGCATAAGACCCAGTGTAGTCCAGTGATGAAGGTGGTGGGTTAGAAATGGGGAGACCCCATGCTCCAGTCCTCCATCAGGCCCAGAAGCTCCAGGATTCACTGTGGATCAGCCATACTTGGCCCCATCTACCTCACAAGGTTGCTCCCAGGGAATCATTACCAAATGATTCAGAGAATCTTACCTATTGTTGTTCTTCAATTTAATATGCCCGCTCGGCTCCAAAATCTGTCCATTCTTCAACCATGTGATCTGTGGGGAAGGTTCTCCTTGAGCCAAGCAGGTAAAAATGGCAGAGGTTCCCACAGGCCTGGCGATTGACTGAGGGTGCTGGACAAATTCTGCAGGAGCTGGGGAAAAAAGCGAAAGACACCTTGCTTGCTTGACTTTGAGAAGAGGAACTGATCCAGGTTTTCCTACACAGGGAAATGAATAAGAGCTTCTAGCCCAGGCTCATTAAAAGAAATACTCAAATGGATGTTGAGTATGTGGAGACTCTAGAAAGAGTGCAGAGAAGAGCAAGAAAGATGCTTAGGGGACTGGAGGCTAAAACATATAAATAACAGTTACTGGAATTGGGTTTAATGAAAAGAAGGACTAGGGGAGACATGGTAGCAGTCTTCCAATATCTCAGGGGCTGCCGCAAAGAAGAGGGAGTCAAGCTATTCTCCAAGGCACCTGAAGGCAGGACAAAAAGCAATGGGTGGAAACTAATCAAGAAGAGAAGCAACTGAAAACTAAGGAGGAACTAAGGATTTGCATAATACACTGAACAACAAACTAACCATGGTTAACCCTTACCAAGGCAAGCAAATTGTGCACTTTCATTGGCTTTGGTTTTTCCCAGGTCTGGTTACCTTTATTGCGTGAATGAAGCCACTGTAATGCATCCCATGGACATCTCCCCACCACGGTGCCCTGAAACCGTGGCACAGAACTCCATATGGAAAAGCAAAGATGGGCGAACAATGGAAAGAAGGTAAACAGAAGGGATTTCAGAGCCCAGCAGCTCCCAGGCAACTCTGGGGCAGCCGGGGAGCTGCTAACACTTGCTGGGGCACCCAGGTCTTTTATGCTGAAGGAGATAGTGGAGAGAAGGAATGCAAAGAGCAGCCCATTCAATATGGAAGGGCATGAGTGTTTCTTCAGAGGCGTTTGAAATCAGTTCATCCATCATGGTTCTGAGGCATCAAAAAGCAGACTGACAGCCAGCGGGAAAGAAGGAACAAGGCAAATAGACCTGAGGTCACCAACTGGTGGTCCGTGGACCACTGGGGATTCACAAGAAAATGTTGGTGGTCCGCAGAAAAATTATTTGCATTTTTATATTGCACTAAATCTGGGGTCCTCAAACTAGATATGTGCAATGAATGCTTGTGTTGCTGCAGAGAGTTTCCCGCTTTGGTGTCTTTTTGTGCAAGTCGGAGGGGGGAAATTCCAACTTGGGGTCTGCTTCAGCCTCCTGGTGTGGGGCTTTGGGCCTCTGGAGCCCGGGCGAGGCCGTTTTCACCCTCCTGGAGGCTCGAAAAAAGGGAGGGAGAAACCCCCAACCAGGAAGAGCACCAATTGCTAATTTTTTTCAATCCCAGCCCTGCCTAAAGCTCTTAAGTAGCAGAAAGGAACTCATAGAAGTTTGCTACAAGTTGGTTATCCCCTGCCTGCCCCATGATTTGTTGGCAGTTGTGGTGAGGAATTTGTGGAATTGTATTCTGAATCAATGTTCCCTCTAATTTTTTTTCAGTGGGTGTGGAAAAGTATAGTGTTTGAGCGGCACATTTTCACGCCTGAGCACTTGATTTTTTTTCACAGATGTTTCACAGAGCAATTGATTTATAGGATCAGAATTGGTTTTATGCATGCCTTAGTGTGTGTGTGTGTGTGTGTGTGTGTGTGTGTAAGGAATGACCCAGAAGGAATGACCCAGCTTGGCTCCCGCTTTCGATCTGCTGCCCAACAACCAAAAGGAGAAGCGAAGAGGCAGGAGAGACGAGGCAGGAGAGATGAAGAGAGAGCCAAGCCGGGTCATTCCTTCCAAGAGGCAACTTTCCCATTGAATGACTCGCTGCCCTAGACTTGAGGAGACCCTCTGCAGTCCCTCTTGTCTGGCCAGGATGCCAGCGAGAGTGTTGGGCTGAAGGAAGGAGGGATACACACACTTGCGCTCTCCCTCTCCCTCCCTCCCTCCCCCCTCTCTCTCTCGCAAATGGCAAATCCGAGCAGCCGCTACTGGGAGCTCATCCCATGCCTTCTCCCTACCCCCACACCCCTTCTCTCAGCTACTTTCTGCCTTGTGGACCTAGAACCGATTGTTGTCTCCAGGCTGGCTCTCCTCTCCTATTATCGTGGAAGGCGTCTCACAAAAACCACTGCGCAGCAGTTGGAAACTGCTGCGCGGTGTTTTGTTGCCACGTGCGCGGCCACGCACCGGCGCAGCTTAGAGGAAACATTGTTCTTAACCCCTCTAAAGGACACTTAGTTGGTAGAGGCTAATGACAAGTTGGGTGTTTGCTCAGGAATACGTCCCTCATCAAACCCACCACACAGGCTAATCTTCTCACCAGAGACTCCAGGAATCTGAGTGGTCCTTCTCAGGTTTTACCCTCCGAGAATATCAGTAGGGTGCAGATGAAAAAATGGGGGCAGCTGCATCATTATGATTAGAATTAGAATAACAGAGTTGGAATGTACCTTAAAGGTCTTCTAGTCCAACCCCCTGCTTAGGCAGGAAACCCTACACCTCTTCAGACAACTGGTTATTCAATCTCTTCTTAAAAACTTCCCCTGTTGGAGCATTCACAACTTCTGGAGGCAAGTT